TCCTCTGGATGTTTTCATTGGATTTTGGGTCATTAATAAATAATCTCTGTGTTAAACACACGTTTCTGAAGCGTAGGCGTTTTGTTCAGTAGGATAATCTTCACAGATGAACGCCATCTTTATGATGTTTGAAGCGTTAATGTGGCCGACAGAAGTAAAAAGCTAACGTTATGCTAAAGCTAACGACACCACGGTGGGATGATTGTGACATCACTAGCGTTATGCTTCAGACGATCTCTGATAAACTAATCCACGTATCTTAATAAATAGTTTACTAACATAATATTCACCTGAACCTAAAGATTAAACCTACAGGAGACATCTCCGACTAGTGAGAGAGTTCCCGCCCTCTGTGTCCGGCGTGATGACCTTTAATGTCCCCGACAACCGCTGTAGTCACATTTAGCCGCTTGTTAGCAACGGCCTTTTTAAAGACGAGTAAAAACTTCAAACTTCACAAGTGGAGGTATTACCTAACGTAGTTTATGTGCTCTAACAAAACACCAACATCTCTTCAGCTTGTGTTAACCACAGACCTTATTTCAGGAGTCTAACCACAAACTTGACTTTTAGACGTTAGACCCCATGGTGCTCAAATGCTAACTCACTTCCTGGTTTTAGGACTCCTTCCTGTGGCGCTCTGTACAGGAAACACACTGCAGATTAAAATACAGTCTATAAACTGTAAACACACAATACAGTAATTTACTGTAATTATAGAGTACAGTAAGAACCTGTAAAACATACAGTGCTGAAGTTTAACAGTGTATCTTATGGCGTCATAAAGAGCTCAACAGTGTGGTTCAGGAGGGCGGGGCTTGTCAAAGGGTCAATTATGGTGAAAGTGACTTTCCATATTTTTCATTTCCTGGCAGCATCAACACGTTGCTCAGAGTTTAATCTTCTTCCCGTCTGAATCCAAAGTCGAGCGCAGTGATGATTTATTAATGAGCTTTAATAACAAAAGTGCTGACAGAGTCCAGGTTTCTGTGACGCTTCGTTTCTGTCGGGTGAAAAAGTCAGTTTGGAGGAAATATGAGTGTCGGCCATCTTGATGACGAAGCACGTTATCTGTTTGAAGCGGTTTTTAAAGTTCTCTCTAAAGAAGAAGAAGAATCCATCGAGTGTCATGACTCACCTGGGATGGAGGTACCCAGCGCCACAAACACCACCGCAGTCACCGAGTCCTTCAGGCCGATGGTGCAGCCGAAGTGAGACGCCAGGTCGCCGATGACGGCAGTGAGCAGGCCGATGATGGCGATGGAGATGACGAAGCACGCCCAGCCGTTCATGTAGTCGGTGGGGGGAACGCACGCAAACAGGACCTTCCAGAAGACGGTGAGGAAGTGCATGACGTAGTCGAAACAGGACGGCAGACGCTCTTCCCCCGTGTCGTCCTCGTCCTCATCTGTGGGGAGGGGGGGGGGGGGGGAGATAAAGAGGGTAGAAGGACAGATTAAGAAAAAGTCAAACAGGAAGTGACAGAAGGAGAATAAAAGTGAGACGGATGATGAAGAGAAAGTTTAAAGCAGAGAGCGAAGAGAAAAGTAGGCGAGATAAAGAATCGATGGAGGAGATAAAGGATGACAGAGAGGGGGAGGAAGAGGACAAGATACACTTTAAAAAATAAAACCTTTTCTTCACAGTGAGACGTCTTATCTCTCTGCCTCAGGTTATTGTTGTGACTGTTCAGCTTTAAATGTGACACAAATACAGAAGTCGATTAGAAGGCGCCACGGGGGCCGATTCATTTTTAATAAACCCAAAGAGAGAGGAGACTTCTCGTCTTTGAAATGTGTACATGCACTTCACTTTGTGGGGAACAAATGTGCTTTTTATAATTCAGTGTATAACAGCATCTCTCTGCTCCCACTGCTTCAGACTTTAGGGTCCAGAAATGTCACTTCCTGCTTTGCTCTCGGCGTTGTGCTAAGCTTTCTGGGTAAACAGGTTTTATCACACTTTAAATCATTCTGCAGGTTTGAAGACAATAAACTGAAACTCTTTAATTACTAATCCAGTAAATACATGAAGGGTGGTTAAGCTGTGGAGAGATTTTGGGAAACATAAAAATCAGGTATGTAAAGATTGTCCTGTAATGTGCACATCTTTAATCTATTCCTGCTAGTATCTAAAGGTAATGCGAGGTGATTCTACTGTCCAATGAAAGCTTAGAGAATAAATGGAGCATATATAAGAAGTGGACTTAAGCATTTGTCATGCATTGGTTTAGGATGTTTTGGAGGCTCGTGTTAGGACGTTTGGTTTTCCCCATTATTAGTCAAATTAACAACTCAGTGACTAAGAATGGATTAGAATCTCAAAGCATAAAACTCTGACAACTCAAAGACAACAACACACACACATTGTCGTCATAGTAACGGCTCCAGAGCGTCTCCACACTGACAGCCCCCAACTGTCAGAGTCATGTTTACAGACTTTATTTACAGAGCTTTTATTTTGAAAGCACACAGAGGTCATATTCTGCCCTTTTTGGGGTTCTTATATTTAATCTATGTTCCTACTTTTGTACGTTCACAATAGATAAAGTTCTAAAAAAGTGTCTGTTTTCATGAACTGCTCCTCCTTGCTCCCTCTATGCTCTGAGTCCGTCAGCTACACTCTGTTGAGCCCACACTGTTAGACCCCATGTGGGCCAAGTCTGCTCTGATTGGTCTGCCGATCCGCTCTGTCGTTATTGGTCAGTTGCTCAGCACGGTTCTTGGAAATTTCAACATGAGGTGCAGGGCCACAACGAGCCAATGGGCTTAGATCAGTGACGTCACACTGACACTTTTTTATCGAGGGGGGCTAGAACCGAGCGTTACGTGCAGCTAATGCTACAGCTAACAGGAGGACGTAGGAGAAGCCGCGTTTCCGCAGACTTTGAATTTTTGGACATAGATGTTCCTAAACATGCACAGGACACTTAGAAAACACACTAAAGAGCAGATAAAACCAGAAGAAGAAGAATATGGGACCTTTAAGATGTAATATAAATCCAGTATCTCCTCTGAAAATAACTCTGTGAGTCATGACTGTCTACAATGGGTGTAACACCCGAGTCCCACTGTCTGTGATGTTTTCAGAGTTTTCAGAGTCCTATCTTCACTTTGTTTACATCGCCAGGACGGCCGGCTGACTCCTCCCCTCGTGTATAAAAGTTGTTTAATTGAGGGACTAGAGAAAAGAAGAATAACATACTGTACTCACTGCTTAACTGTGTTTCTAGATCACGCTCATTTCAGGTAAATTTACATGCAGTGTGAAGATACCAGCATAATAAAGATCGCTAGCATTAGCATGCTAACACAACAATGCAGCGCGAGTTGTTTTGGTTTCATGCTGGTGCTCAAGGGCGACATCTGCTGGATCAAAACATCACATATAAAGCCTTTAAAGGTCATAGATTGAGTCGTTGGAGTAACTTTGAGCTTCATGAAAGTTATCCAGAAGAAAAGCTCATCAGCTCCTCTCAGCTAGATGTGAGCGGTCAGCAGGCGTCCTCAGGTGGAGGAGCACGGCGTCCCCAGGAAGCTGAGCAGACAGCGGGGGGGGCGGCGTGCTGATTCAAAGTGTCAGGCCGTGTGAGCCGCCTGCGTGCTCTTTTCAGCCCCATCATGAAAAAGTAAAGAGCAGCGCTGGATTAAATATTTCATCAGCAGAGTGACGGAGCAATGGCCTTCTCGCGACACGCCGGTTGTGACGGCGTCGGACGGAGCGACAGCTGCACTGCAGGCTGCGAGCTGATCTGACATGATGGATGAGTTTCTTTCTCCTTCTAACACTCTGAGATTATTACAGAGCGTCAGGAGCTCTGCTCACACTGACAGCTGATACTTTGGAGGCTGAAGTCGGTGAAAGTTTGAGATGATGACGTTCAATCTGCTGCGAGTCAGACGAGAAGATTGATACCACTCATAAAGCTGTCTGTGGAATATGAGGCAATCTGCTAGTATAGCTTAGCTTAGCATGAAGACTGGAGACAGGAGGAAACTACTAGCCTGGCTGTAACTGAGGGTTTTCAAATCCATCATCCTGCACCTCCCACTCACCCTTCACCTGATTTGATTTGTATAAAAGTACGCTCGTCATGGGGCGCTGGTGGTGCAGTGGTTAGTGTGCGCGCTCCATGTATGGAGGCTGTAGTCCTCCAAGTGGGTTGCCCGGGTTCAAATCCAACCTTTCCAAATTCAAATCCAATGCTTTCCGTCATGTCAAACCACCTCCAGTCCGAGCAGAGAATCTATTGAAGTTATTTTCATTACCTGCACTGACTGTGATGGCCTCCATGAACTGGTCTCTCCACGAGTTAGTCCCCACCACCAGAGCCAGGTTGGTCTTCTTGATCAGCTTGTCCACTGTGCTCTGTGAGGAGGAGGAGACCGAGAGGCAGAACACAAATCTGAACATTACTCACATCTGGAGATTAAAAAACGTGCAGCCGTGGATGAAGGAGAAATAAAATCAAAGAGGTTAAAAAACACGAGGAAAAACAAAATGAGTGAAGAAGTCTTACTGATGTCTAAGGACTAAAATAAAAAACTCCTGTGAGGAGGAATGTAGAGCTGAGCAGTTTGTTTCTAAATGAAGGAGAGTGAAAAAAACTCAAGAGGCTGCTTTGTATAAACATTACCCGAGTTCACCACATGATGGCAGTGTAGTACAGAACACTGTGTGTGATGCATGACAGCAGAAACAAACATGGTGCTTTTAGTGAGGGAGGTTTAAGGATGCATAAAAAAATCTCCTCCAGAAAAGAAAAGCCTCCCTGTGGGTCGAGAGGCCTCCGAAGAGCAGCGTGCTAAAATTAGAAACATGTCACTGTGTGTGTGTGTGTGTGTGTGTGTGTGTGTGCGTGCGTGCGTGCGTGCGTGCGTGCGCGTGCGTGCGTGCGTGCGTGCGTGTGTTTGATGAGTAACCCTTCCCACCTTAAACTCGTATGATTCCTCGATAATGACTTCCAGCTTGGAGTGTTCCCCCAGCACCGGTTTCCCCATCTCGGCGATGCGCCTGGCTTCCTCCTCATCTGATGTCATCTTCCTCTCTGGAACATCTGAGCGGCGAGGGAGGAAGAGAGAGAGGGAGAGAGCACAAAGGAAGCACGGTGAGGAAGATGATTAGCATGTTGTGTTGTTCTTCTCAGAACTCAAAGAAATCATCAGACGACGTTCTGAAGAGTCTGTGAGGAGCATCCGTCACCTTCATCAGAGCGGAGAAACAAACGCTGTGAAGGTTTGAGGAACGCCATCTTTAACTACTTTGATTTGTTAATGTTAGACAGGCTCGCATGCTTTATCACTTCAGTACACACACACACACACACACACACACACACACACACACACACACACACACGGGTTAATTAGACAAAAAAAAAGTGAGAATGTTTGACTTTCAGGATCCCCATTAAACCTCTTTCAACATGTTCAGATTTAAATTATGTTGGACCAAAGACAGTCAAGATCTTATGAGTCATTAGGACCCCGAAAATCTGAACAAAATCATTTTAAAGAGTCGGTTTATCCAGATCACAAATACACACGGTGGTCCTCACTTATTAAGTTAGACTGAGACATGGAGACCGCCATCGATGGGACTCCAGCGCCCCCTGCAGGAACAGACGGGTGACGTCACTCATTCAAACATTCAGATTTGGGGGTTTAGAGGAGCCAGGTAGGAGAATCTAGGTAGTTTTAGGGGGAGGTACCGAGAGCAACAGCCAATCATGAGGTTGGCTCGGTACCTTTCCAGCTTTTGTCACCGGCCCCTAGTGTTTCATTAGTTTTATTAATTACCTTTCATTATTTTCTGGGGGTGGGGGTGTGTGTGTTGGGGGGGGGGCTTTATTCACCACAGATAAAGCTTATATCTGTGTGGCGTTCTTTATATTCCTGGTCTCCATTTTTCCTGAGCCGTTTGGGTCAAAGTTAGTTTTTAAAAGTAATTATCAACGCTAATTAAATGAAGACATCCAGGGTCTTTACTTCAATGCCACCACTAGTCAAAGTCTTACACACAAACTGCTTCCTGTGTCTCGCCTCGGCCCCGGTCCCTCCCTCCCCTCTCCTCGCCGCCCTGCGTGGCTTCACAGATCTCCTGAGTGCACCGCTGCACACCACACAGAGCGCCACAACATCAATTCTTCGCTGTCAAACTCGATCAAGGAGGAGCGATCCAGACGTCCAAAAGGCCTCTCATCCCGCTCTGAGGAAGAACCCTCCCCCCACTGAGCCACCTGGTGCAGAGACCCGAGTCCCAGCCCTGCCGCTCTCTGCTGACAACGCACTCGCCATTAAATATTAACGTTGCCATTAAAGATCACAGCCGAGTCCCTGTGATCTCTCACACTCACACAGAGGCATGCATAATACACCAGCACACACACTTTAAAGATAAATCAATTACACACACAAGAAAGTGTGCACCCTCAAGTCCTGACAGGATTTCTTTTGCTCATGTTTAAAATTTGATTATCCCGCCGTCCGCCTTCCTCGGAGCCGCACCGCAACATGACACACATTTTCCCGACAAGGACGAGGAAAATAATGAAAACACAATCGCACAAAAAGGTAATTAAATTTCTAATTTATTAACGGCAGGTTTTTTATCTTCCAACGGTTATCAAGTGTCTGTAGCTTGTTCACGACTGGAGAGCGTGAGTTATGGATTTATGATTAATTAATCTGCTGATTAGCTTCATTAAGAGGCGGAGAGAGAGCGGGCGAGGAGCGTGTGTTTGTAACAGACTGGTTACAGCGTCGACATCAAGTGACAAAATCAGGATTCAATAATGAAGTGGACATGGATGTGCAGTTCCTGGAATGGCCACTTGGGGGCTGGCTCTAGAGCGAGTCATTCCCCATAGCACCTCGTGGCCATGTGGTTAGTTTGCACGCCTCATGCACGCAGTCTGCAGGCCTGTGATTCAACATGTGTCTCTTTTCTGAAAGATTCAATCAGATGAATTATCAACATCATGCAATCGAGACCCTCAAACTGAACCAAACTCAAACAGACGGAGGTCTTACCTTCAGCTAACAACAGAGCTGTGATAGAGGAAGAGGAAGAAGAGGAGGAGGAGGAGGAGGAAGAGGAGGAGGAGGAGGAAGAGGAAGCGGAGGAGGTGGAAGAGGAGGAGGACGAGGAGGAGGAGGAGGAGGAAGGTATGGAGAAAACAGAAAATCAGATGATGAGTGGAGATGGAATAAAGATGCATAAAGAAAGAATCAGTCTGATTGGAGGAGAAAATGTAACCGTCTCGGGGAATGATCTGATATTGACCGCAAGGTTTGATATATGCGGCTCTGATTATTACATTTCTCTGAGGCAGTCAGAGGAGATTTGGTACTTTGCAGCTTTTTATGAGCACAAAGGAACAATGTGTGATAGAAATCAACACAACGAGAGGACATGATCTGCAGCTCGAAACAGAACTTCACAGCTCCGTGCTGATGTCAGATGATAATTACACATTCACTTTTATGAAACGAGTTCAGGATCGATACATCAGGCTGCAAAGAACCTGGCCTGTAAAACACTAAGGTACTTTAACTGAAAACAGGTCAAATGAAAGAACTACTAGAAACAGAATTTAATCCTAGAATTATCTGCCATCCATGTTGCTGCTGTTGAGGACACGTGCAAACCTTCAAATACAACAGTTTGTGGGATCTGTTATCTAAGAGGAAGTGTCATTCTGTCAATATGTCGGAGGTTAAGATGACAGAATATGATTTGACAGCCTCCCTTTGGGTGGGTGGGGGGGGGGAGTGTAAAAACAAAATGCAAACCTGCTAAAAACAGCAAAATACCTGCCAGCAAGTCTGCAAAGTTTGTTTTTCATTTCAGATTCACAGTGAGCGAGGACTTTGGGAAATTGGGAGAAAAACATGTCCTTTTAGCCGGCAGAAACCTCGAGCAGAATCAGACTGATTGGTGGACGGCCATCTGCCTCAAACCAACCGGCTTCAGAGTTTGTTAAAGGTCTCATATGATGCTGAATCCTCTTCTCCATGTTCCTCTAACTCTAACATGTGTCTCTAGTCTACAAACCCTCCAATGATGAGAAAAGTCCATCCTCTCTGTCTTCTGCCTGCTCCACTTTTCAGAAAATGTGTGCTCAAACAGGCCGTTTGGAGATTTTCCCTTCATGACATCACAAAGGGCAGTAGCCCCTCCCCCAGGTGGGTGACACTCCCACAGCTAGGTGTTTGTTCTGCCCTCTGAGTCTGCCTTCTCACCGTAAACAATAGGACATGGAGCGAGAAAAGACTGAGACACCCAAGCCCTTCCAGAGAGGGGGCGTGGGCAGACACAGCTCATTTACATATTTAAAGGTACAGACACAGAAACAGCTTGTTCTGAGCAGGGCTGAAATAGAGGGGTTTATAGACATGATCAAATACAGGATCAGAGTGGATTTAGAACAAGAAACTTCACACACATGTTTTGAGGAGCTCTGAGACTTATTTAAACTGAAGAAGAGGAGGAGGATGTGACCTTTAAATAACATGATTAAGAAAAAAGAGACTTAAGTAGCTAACCACTTAGATAATTACATGACAGGATACCCCAGAGGAAAAAGCCTCAATGTTGTTTTTATCCTCTGAAGATTCATGTTGACAGCTCTTACGTCTTAACGTCTTCATCAGAATCCTAAATCACAAAGTGTTCACACGAGAGAGGGTCAGAGACTGTTGGAAGGACAAGACAATGTCAGACGGTACAGCCCCCTCTAAAACCTCCATCACCCAGACATGATGCTAATTAACGAGCTAATCAACTTTCTAAATCAAGAACAGGCCACAGTTGATCATCATTAGCAGCTAAGTGCATTCATTGCTGTAAGCATTGTTTAATTATCATTTGTACGACACGAGCCAGACGAGGAGAGTCTCCGACAGATATAACAGTATGGAAACACACTCAGGGAATAAAGAGATAAAGATAAAATATACCTACAAGAAGTCCAAACTATCAAATCAAATATCTATATTACAGATTGTTCTACTTCGCTGTAAGAACGACAGGAGCTTAACAAAAACTACAAGATCAAAGGAGAACTACAAGATCACAAGAGAACTACAAGATCACAAGAGAACTACAAGATCACAGGAAAACTACAAGATCACAGGAGAACTACAAGATCACAAGAGAACTACAAGATCACAGGAAAACTACAAGATCACAGGAGAACTACAAGATCACAGGAGAACTACAAGATCACAAGAGAACTGCAAGATCACAGAGTGAACTACAAGATCACAGGAAAACTACAAGATCACAGGAAAACTACAAGATCACAGGAGAACTACAAGATCACAAGAGAACTACAAGATCACAGGAGAACTGCAAGATCACAGGAAAACTACAAGATCACAGGAGAACTACAAGATCACAGGAGAACTACAAGATCACAGGAAAACTACAAGATCACAGGAGAACTACAAGATCACAGGAGAACTACAAGATTACAAGAGAACTACAAGATCACAGAGTGAACTACAAGATCACAGGAGAACTACAAGATCACAAGAGAACTACAAGATGACAGGAGAACTACAAGATCACAGGAGAACTACAAGATCACAGGAGAACTACAAGAGAACTACAAGATCACAGGAGAACTTCAAGATCACAAGAGAACTACAAGATCACAGGAGAACTACAAGATCACAGGAGAACTACAAGATCACAGGGGAACTACAAGATCACAGGAGAACTACAAGATCACAAGAGAACTACAAGATCACAGGAGAACTACAAGATCACATGAGAGAACTACAAAATCACAGGAGAGAACTACAAAATCACATGAGAGAACTACAAGATCACAAGAGAGAACTACAAGATCACAAGAGAGAACTACAAGGTAACAGGAGAACAACAAGATCATGCGTGAATAAAGAGAAAAACCTGCAAACATGTCTCCTTGTCTTTCTGAGGATGATTTGTTGTTCATTCGGTGTCTGTTTTGGAAAATATGATCAGGAGTCTGCATGTTGCGTTTCATTTTAATTGACCGCACGCTCGTATTTGAAACTCAGCTGGAGTGGCGCTGCTGGCACGCTCCAGAGACGGCCTGCGGCGCTTGCTGTGGAAACAGGAGTGTTGATTTGAATGGCAGTGAACGGATTAAGTGGGAATGGGCAGTACAGGTTTAGAGTGGCCTGCAGAGATAACCAAATAACAATTCACAAAATAACAATAAAGCCCGACATAGAAGTGACTTTTGGAGGACATTTTCAT